TAGTTTAGGTTGGGTAAGGTACGTATTTATTACCCGGAAATAACTTTTTATGCGCAATGTGCTTATGTTTGCCGTACGTCTAACCACGAGAAATACGTTCAGCTGCCGTACGCGTTAATTAATCAGTCCTTATTGATATTTTGTGAGTGATGTGGAAGTATTCGTATTTTAAAATGGCTCTGAATTAATCTTCATTTTAAATACTGTTTATTTATTGTGCTTATTATGACACTGTGTAAGTATAGGCCTACATTGCGGCTGAATATCTGCTGTGGCATGCAAGTACATGTAAGTGTCTGTAATTGTGTAAGTATGTGTGTTTCGCCAATACATTCTTCTTATGTAAGTATTCATGTCTGTGTAAGTATTTGAATCTTACCTTCGGTGCGTTTTTTTTCAGGTCTTTGATTTTGTAAGTGTTTCTAAGTAATGCGTACATACATGTGGTTTGCAAAGGCACACACACACGGAGAGACATCAAAGCTGCGTCCACATCAGTGACAAAATACAGTGCCAACATTAATAAGACTGACAAATTGGGTAACAAGTCGTTAAGTCGTTCAGGAACATCATAGTACGGATATGTTGGGCGACATGTTAGCAGTCATGGGGCCGGTTTGTTAGAATTTTTCTATACTTGACATGTACAAATAAAGAAATAAATGCATATATATCAGTCTAGACATACATATCAACCGAGCAAATAGATAGTTAAATGTATATCTATCAGATATGTAGACAAGATATCCTTTATTTTCTGCATCTGTATTTATGAAAATTCATAATATCTTCACAATACGAGAGATGTATTTAATTAAACCGGTTTCGATTACATCTTCGTCAGAAATACATGATATTCGTTCTCATTCATACCTTTCCACATTTGTCAACATGAATACGGTTCATGTTTATCAGAGTTCGGTTTGCTTCGCCATTCCTGTTGTATAATAATGATGGTTTTTGTCCATATTCTACTTTGTCTTCTTTAATGGGCATAAAACAAGAGATGATGAAGCTGTCAGCAGAGTATCTACACACGACATGTCTGCCACTTCTGGAGACTTGGTGTGGCCTGTTGTATAATAACGATGGTTTTTGTCTATACTCTACTTTGTCTTCTTCTCCGATGGCATAAAACAACAGATGATGAAGCTGCCAACAGAGCATCTACACACAACATGTCTGCCACTTCTGGAGACTTGGTGTGGCCTGTTGTATAATAACGATGGTTTTGTCGTGTATAAAACAACAGATGATGTCATGACATGTCTGCCACTTCTGGAGACTTGGGTGTGGCCTCGAATGGATGGGCATAAAACAACAGATGATGAAGCTGTCAACAGAGCATCTACACACGACATGTCTGCCACTTCTGGAGACTTGGTGTGGACAGTTTCAAAAAGTCGATTCTTATTGCCGACATGTCTCTCAACAGGGCACTGGTGTGGATGCAGCCTAATACACATACATATCTACAAGCATACATCCACACACACGCACACGCACACGCACACGCACACGCACACGCACACGCACGCATACACATACACACATACAGACACAAACACCATCACAGTCACAAACAAACACACAATCATCCCCTCCCCTACCCCACCACCACTACCACCACACGCACTTTTCCTTACCCCCTCCCACCCCCGCCCCCAGGGTATCCCAGGGTATCCTCCCCTCCCCCACCCGACACACACTCCCCCCCACGCCCCGCTCCCAGGTACCCCCCACACCCCCCGGGTAAAAGCTTCTCACGCCCCCCCGTTTCCGCAGCGCAAGGGGACCCGAAGGACCGAGATGGCTTCGCGACCTCGAGCCCATGGAGGAGAGCCGGGGTCAGCGGTCGCCGGCCAGGGGTCAGCCGAGGTCAACAGCACCGAGGAGGCGCCCGAAGGAGGATGGGCAGAAGGAGGAGGAGGAGCAGGAGCAGGAGGAGGAGGAGGAGGAGGAGGAAGGACGGAGGACCGCGTCGTCCAGATCTCCACGCCCACGCACGCCCAGGAGGTCCAGGCCTGCGTGAGGAACTTGCGCCATGTGGTGAGGTTTTGGCGCTGATCATGCTGTTGAGGTCTGTCTTTTCTCTTTCTTTCTTTTTCTCTCTCCTCTTCTCCTCCTTCTCTCTAGTCGTTTTTCTCTCCCTCTTTCTCTTCTCTTCTTGTGAAGTCCTTTACCACCGATTCTCACTCGTCATTACGCTCCTACCTCCGTCCACTGCGGTGCGAGCGCTACTCTCTCCCACAGTCATACTGGAGATTCTCAGGTCTTGCTGCCCGGTAGCGGGTAACACAGCGGCCTAAGCTAGGTCTACCCACGGAGCTCTGCTTCTTGTGAGCCCTTTGAGTTTCGTGCTACTGCCTGTCCCTGTCGATCTGTTCCGGATACTCGGAGGCTCATGTTAGGCTTCTCATGGTCATCTGATGCGTCGGTGCTCTGTCTGTCTGTCTGTACTGCTCTGTCTACTCGTGATTCCAGCAGATGTAATGTCCTG